TATATATGTACTTGAATAATATTTGCATTAGATAAGCATATATAGAATTGTAATTGTTTATCGTTATGACATATTAACACTTTTTTCCTCTTTGTTATATTTCACTTTTTGTTAAAGCACTTTTTATGTGTTTTCCCCCTCTTTTTGTAATTAAAAATTTAAATAAATAAATAAATAAAAATGTTATATTTCCTTTGATATAACAGATTTATTTTTTTAAAAAAATTGTCACCTGCCCTTCCTCAAATGAAATTATATTGGAACATACAAACATTTTTCTTTCAGTCATGCCTGTAGCTGCAAACTTCATGAGAGACACAGCATGAATACTTGAGAACGCAGCAGATGAATTTTGAACTGTGCAGTCCAGAAGCATCTACTCTTCCAAATTTCTGTTTCCTCTTTTCTTGATAGAGTTCACTTTCCTTCTCCTAGTTCCTACCACTGAATTCCAGTTAGACTTCATGTGGTGACACATGGCTTGTGATGCTTAGACACCATTACTGCTGTATATTTCTATGCCCCATGCTTTGAAGGTCCCTCCTAGAATTTATTTATTTATTCATTCATTCATTCATTTATTTATTTATTTATCAAATTTGTCACCACCCATCTCACTGAATGACTCTGGGTGGTTTACAAAACAGTTAAAATCAATTAAAATTACAAAATTACGACGTGCTATTAATCCTTTAAAACTGCTCCCCCTAGCCTCTTCTCAAATCTGCAGCTTGGGAGGAGCGTGGACTGAGAGTGGGACTAACATATAAGAATGTTCCTTCTAAGTCATTATCTTTCCATGCAAATTACACACTCATTTAGCAGTCTTGGAGAAGAGGGGTGATTTACACGGAAAGGACACAAACATAGGCAAGGGCACACGTGCGGGTTTAAAAGTCTTTATGCATTGCAAAATTCTAACTAGGGATGTATCTTAATTCAGTACTACATCCTCATCTATATAATGCAGTCGTTCTATATATTTAATTCTATAATTAAAGACGGGGATTCCAAGGCTATACTTTGCCCTGATGCTGAAATTAGTTGCTTACAAAATCTCATTTTCTAAGCTGTTTGCACACAAGTTTGTTTGCCCACAATGTACACACTGTGAACATTGTCACATTTTCTCAATTGTGGCTCAGCACTGCCACCCAGTGCCCAGAAAGTTCCAAATCTTCCTTAGCTAAGCTTGAAATCTTGTTCGGGGCAGGAATAGAATGTTTTGTTTTCTTTCAAAACAGTATCTGTGCATGCAGACGTATTTCATCTGTTCTCTGGAACTGCCCATGTATTTTTATTCGGATTAGTACTATAAGGGCTTTTAATGAAATGCAGTGACATCATCATATAACTAGAACCCTGGGAGCAACATTTTGGCCTTGGCATCTAATAATGATTTGCCTTGTAGCACCATGCAACTTGTTAGAGAAATGCAGTAACACCATTCTTAAGTATTAGAGTCCCTAGCAGCCTTTTTTTTTAAAGTATTGCTTTGATCATACTATTATTTACTGAATACTTTTATGTCTACTTATAGGTTTCTTGACACTTCATCCCACAAATTAGACCAATTATGTAGTGGCATCAGTTGCATCATGATTATTTTAAAAAAGATATTTTTATATATGCTTCCTGTTAAAAAAAATGCTAAAAGGCAAACAAATAAACAAGAAGTGAACCAAAAATAAAATCCCCAATATTTTTTTGTGCAATTTAGTACCACCCTCAGTCTTAGATGACTCATAAATTTAACGGACTGTACAAATGATTCTTGATCATTATGGCAAATATTGGTGCCAGGGGCTTCACAGTTACTCACTGAAGGCCTTCTTGAAAAGCCAGGTTTTTACCACCCTCTGGAAAGCCATGAGATTGGGGGCCATCCTTGCCTTGGGGGGGGTAGCTTATTCCATAGGAGAGAAGCTGTCACAGCGAATGCCTGTCCTCAGCCCCCTACTGCCATACCTCCTGAGAGATGGGGATCATTAGTAGGCACTCTTTGGTTGTCCAGGTCAGATGAACAGAAGCTATCTGCAAAAGTGGACTCTTAGATACCCAGGTCTCAAGGCTTAGAGGGCTTTAAAGGTAGACACCGATATCTTGAATTGCACTTGGGAGCACACTGATAGCCAATGAGCTCCCACAGCAGTGGTGTAATATAGCAGTACTATGATGTGGGTAGCTGCAGTTTGAACTAGCTGACGTCTCTGGATGGTCATCAAAGACAGCCCCATGTAGACAAAATTTCAATAATCTAGATGAGAGATGACAAGCATGAATTATTATTCTTAGCCCACCCTGTTTTAAGGCTGTAACTGGTGCACCCACTGGAGCTGGGCAAAGGGTCTCCTGGCCATGGCTTTCATCTGCTCACCTAGCAGGAGCCGTGAGTCCAAGAGGATACCCAGGCTGCAAATGTGCTCTTTCTGAGGGAGCACAATTCCACTGAGAGTCTTAGTTGGTACAGTCCTGGAGTCGGCGGGCTTCAGAATTGACCGCAACTGTGTCTTGCTTGGGTTGAGTTACTGGTCATCAGTATTCACACAGTACTGAATTGGCAGAGATATTTAATATCTACCAAATTTTCAGGGCATAATCCTTTTAGTTTTTATGCATTTAAAACTGACTTCATTTTGGTTATCATTTCCGAATAATGAAAAAGAAAACCCTATACCTTAAAAACAAAAACAAAATATGCTAAAAGGTCACCGTATCCGAGTGATGCATGCCCTGCTATAGATTTTTCTCTCAATTAACCTGTTTAATATTTAAAGGTCTGTTAATGATCATATATAGGAAGTGAAAAAAGTGGGTTAAAATGTAATCGTTTTAAAAAACTGAAAACATCATATAAGATGCTTGTTGCCTTACCAGAAATATTCTAAGCTACTTATCACTCTGATTATTGAAAAGACTTGGAGCAAGTTTGTTTAATAGAATAAGTAGCTTATGTTAATCATTAAGCTTGGCCTGAGGGAAAACGGGTTTTCTCCCCCTTTTATTTTTGCTATCACAAGCATTCAGCATGGTCACGGTTACAGAGTAACTTATTCCAGTTTTCAAAAGAAAGTAATATTTGGGTGGATTTTTTTCTTTCTCTTATCTTTGATTCAGTGTCAGAAAAGAGAATGGAACAAAATGAAATTTTAAGAATTTAAAGGAACGGTGCTGAACAATTAATTCTGAATTTCCATTTACCACAATCAGAATATTGGATCAGAAAAAAGGAGAAAAATCAAATGCTGTCACGGTAGGTTTCAAAATTTCTTAATTTTGAAATAAGTAGGTTGATAATAATTGTTTACTGTAGATTAATGACTGGGGAAGAACAAGAGAGTCTCCAATCTATAGTGCACTAGAGGTGCATGTCTAGATGTTCCTTCAGTTCATAACGCTGTTCACCCACCGGTCTCATTCAATACGAAAGAAAGTGTGCACCTTTTGTAACCAGGATACCAACTGTATACACCATTGTTAGTTGCTTACCACAAAGGCATCTGTGCTGTAATTTATGTAGCTGGGAAATCTTGTAACATAATAAATTGGTCTAAAGAAATACATGATGATCCTTGAAATTCCATACATTTAGTGCATGAGTTGAAAGTAATTGAAATCAGTTTGCAATATGAATGTAAAACTGACCTTTGTTAGAGTGAGTTTTCACAATTGCAAATGCCTATCTGACATTTTCCTGAAACACGAAGAAAGACATACATATATAGGGAAGGATCAAATGCAAAGTCAGCATCATGTGCTGAATTTGAGTAAAAAAGGAGGGATATACATCAAATAACTATATAACTAAATGGGTCTTGAGTTAAAACAATTTATATTGTGCAACAGAAATGATAAAGCATTAACTAACTAGTTTTGTATATTTTAGTAAGCTGCAATATAGTTTGTTCTGTTCTGGATTATTTTATTGTATAAATTCAGTCACTGCAGTTAAACCATGATTTATGGGTAGTCTAATGTTTGAAGTTAGCCATTATGCCTTATACAACAATCCGTAATTTCAGAAACCCCTAGTTAGTTTTATGTATGTATGTATGTATGTATGTATGTATGTATGTATG